AAAAAAAAAAAAAAAAAAAAATTATGAGAATAACCATAAATGCGAAGACTAGCAGCAAATAAAGTTATCCTGGAAATAGATAAAGAGATGCGGGTGAGGCGCATACATTAGACTTGCCTATTGTTATACTTGAAATGAATTTGTGTTGCCCAATTTGGCCTCTGGCAAGGATTTTGCGATATATATAATCCGCTTGTATATATTGCGATGGTGAAACTCTGCATGTTGTCCGTATCTTTTTTATCTGTGACATAATCGAGCTCTACCAGGATTGAGAAGTGATTCTGCCATCACCCATCCCTGCCAAGATGCAAAAAATAATATTAAATTACTACATTATAAAGAAAATATAGCTGTTGGAAAATAACTTCTTGATCGCAATGTTACTCTGGAAAGCAAAGATGACGATCAGTTAAGAGCTTAGAAAAAGTAACGACATGAGAAACAGAGTCTTAATTGCATTCTTTCAACTGAAGCTACTAAAGATTTATAGAGCTGCAAACACTTGGAAACATGACTCGACTGGTGAGAGAGAAGCAGGTTTGCCACACTTTTGTTGAATACATTGACCAAGTTTCTCATCAGAAAAAGAAAAGGAAGAAATAGAAAGAGGAAAAAGAAAAAGAAAAAGAAAAAGAAGAAGAGAACTATAGCCATTCAAGTTTTTACTTTGTGCATGATTAACAAACAAGTACAAAAGAGACTAAAATTTATGTTATCTATAACACTGCCATTCACCAGATCATGAAGCAAAAATACTGCTAGCTAATTCTATATTCCATATACTCATATAAGGTGAAAGTGATGCAATCCAAGCAAAAAAAAAAAAAAAAAACATAGTCGTTTTCCTACTTGCTCTGAAGCTTGACTCTTGAAAATCTCATATGATGCTGAGACCATTTTACATGATGCAGCAATTGGTGCTTCAAGATTGGTCGTTGTTGGCACAGAGTTGGAAAAGGCATCACCTTGTTTTCGAGAAGAGTTTTTACCCCCACTTGATGAGCGTATAAAATGTAAAAGCACATGAGCCTGTAGAGGAGTAACTTACATCACAAAAGAAAATATTGGCAGGAAATATGTACAATGAAAACAAGTCGTGTTTCTTACATGGAAAGCAGCTTTTAGGATGTCGTCTGACTTCGCTTGATCTTTGAGTAATGCATATACCTTACCCTTAGTATGATTGTACGTCACAATGTATTTTTCTCTCTATTACCCATCAAGAAAATATCAGAAAATTAAAATAAAAGAATGAGTAACACTGCTTAAGGACAAACAATGAAACGAGATGTCACAAACATACATCAAACATAGGCTCTATGGCGAGATAAGAACCAGCATCTTGAAATGCATCTTTGAATCTTGGTCCTGCCAAAAGATTGAAAATAGTTCTACACGCTTCAACAGTGTGAAAAGCAAGCACAACAAATACACACAAAACATAGAATATAAACACTCAAGCCATATTTTCTTAATGAGAGAGTGACTTCCATTGAGAGGAATGAAAGAAATGCATGTGTATTGGGAGGATGAAATATTTACCAAGAACTACAGGACTTTCTTTCAGCCACGGGAAACTTAATATTCTTTCATTCAGATTCCCCTTCTGCAATGAGGGTACTCGCCCTGCAAACAAACATAAGACAGTTTTATACACATGCCTAAATAAAAAGAAATGCGCTTTATTTTTTTAGTAAACTCTAAGCCACTAGAAAAGGGATTTAAGGATTGAAAACATCTCTCTCTCTCTCTCTCTCTCTCTCTCCCTCTCCCCCTCTCTCCCCCCCTATTTTTTGAAGTATTGGATAACACTTAAGCACCTGTCTTGAGGAAAGACTCTACTGCTACATTGAATCTTGCTCTGTTCAACGTATGCAACACAACGGATCTCACCTGTAAAATATTGCATATGGAACTAGAATGAGTAAAGAAATTCTCATAATCAAGAGAAATGAGAGTGTAAAAAAATCAACTTTAGTGTTTCAGACAAACCTCTTGATAAGAGCTGAAAACATAACCGCAAGAAAGCAGACCAAAAGTAGCAACCAAAGATGGATTTCTTTTTGAAATCGTGATGCTTAGTCCAGTTCCTAGCTTCACAAGACAGAATTGAAACTTCCATCAGCTTCATCTGAAACTTAATGATCTCTATGACATAACAAACGTAAAGCTGATTGAAGTTCCAATTCTTGGGAATTTAACCGTAACCCCTTTTATAAGAAAACACCCCTCGGATGGATAAAAGGGGTTACGTTTATAAGAAAAGTTAAGTCAGATGAAGCTTCAATCATCTTTATAAGAAACCGTAACCGTAAAGCATTTTCTTGGGAATTTAACCGTAACCCCTTTTATGTCCAACTTTGGGGAATTTAACCTTTCAAGGCTTGACAAAGTAAATAGTTAGGGGAGCTGCAGAGGAGAGACCAAATATATGAGAAAATAAAAACATGCAGGAGAACTCTTCTGGAGCCTTGATAACAGTTACGTCTGTTATAAACGTAACCCCTTTTATCCAT